TTTTTTTTTTTTTTTTTTTTTGTGGGATGGAGTCTCGTGCTGTCACCAGGCTGGAGTGCAGTGGCGCGATTTAGGCTCACTGCAACTTCCGCCTCCTGGGTTCAAGTGATTCTCCTTCTTCAGCCTCCTGAGTAGCTGGGACTACAGGCGCCTGCCACCATGCCAAGCTAACTTTTGTATTTTTAGTAGAGTCGGGGTTTCACCATGTTGGCCAGGGTGGTCTCAATCTCTTGACCTCATGATTCGCCCGCCTCGGCCTCCCAAAATGCTGGGATTACAGGTGTAAGCCACAGTGCCCAGCCTCATGGTTAAATTTTTGAAGTAAGCCTTACTTGATCATGTTGTGATATAACATATGCCGCTTTCTCTTTGCTAGGATATTAAGATTTTGCAGTTAAAATTATTTTCTTTTTTGTGTGCTTTGTCAGATTTTGACATCAGTCTTACACTAGTATTTTTTTCATGGCCTATTTTATTCCATTCTTTTATTTTCAACTTTTCTATATCTATATCCTTAAGCTTCAAAATGTCTCTTCTAAACAGCATATGATTGAGGCTTTTTATTATTAGGTTTTATAATTTTTGTATTTTAATTGGAGCATTTAGTTTGTATAATATGGTTAATATACTCTTTGCTTTCTATTTTCGTCAAAAATTTGAATAGAACAAAAGGTCGACCTCCCCCAAGCAAGAGGGAATTCTCTGGCAGTCTGCCTTTGGACTTGAATTGCAACTCCTTCCTGAATCTCCAGCCTTCCAGCCTCTTCTATTACGAGTCAATTCCTTAAAATAAATCTATGTAATATATATTTAATATAACTAATATATAATGTGGCTATCTAGTAGAAGTACTATATGCTTAATATGACATATAATATAATTACAGTAGTACCTCCTTATCTGGGGGAGGGATTATGTTCCAGGACCCCCAGTGGATGCCTGAAACGACAGATGTGTATTTCCCTATACATACATAGCTGCAATAAAGTTAAATTTATAAATTAGACACAGTAAAAAATTAACAAGAATAACTAATAATACAATAATTATAATAATATACCAGCATGTTCCTTTTTCCCTTTTTTGTTGCTTTTTGGATTGATAGACTTTTTTTTACTATCCTAACTTTCTTCTCTCTTGCCAAATTATAGACCCTGTTCTTTTAATGGTTACCCTACAAATTACAACACGTAGCCTACATGTGTCACATTAATGTACTTGATATATTAGTCCATTTGTTCTTCTTAGACAATACAAAGGTCTTGGAACACTTTTAATTTCTTTTATCAGTTCCTTAATTTTTTTTATCAGTATATATATATATATATATACACACACACACACATACATATAATGTGTATTCTAATTATATGTGTTTTAAAACCCATAAGACATTATTATTGTTTAATATGGTCACCATTCATTTAGATCTAGCTATATATTACCATTTTCATTTTTCCTCATTGCTTTTTTAACCTTTTTGAGATTATTTATTTTCTGATTGAAGAACATACTTTAATAAGTTGTTAGTATAGTTTTGCTGGTAACGAATTCTCTTGAGTTTTCTCGGTCTGAAGGTTTTTAAATTTTGCCTTTAGGGGCCAGGCGTGCTGGCTCATGCCTGTAATCCCAGCACTTTGGG